CCTTACACCAAGTACATCTGCACTCGAGAAAATGTTTCTACATATTGATAGATTCATGCATTTTAACACCTTCAGAGGTTAAAAATAAATGCATCTTTCACCAATGCTTCTATATGCAGAAGATATCACACACACCTCTCATTCACTGTCAGTAGTTCAGAATCTTGTCCAAGAAATGCAGACTGGAGGAGCCAGGGATCAAACCATCAACCTTTTTAGTTAGTGGACGAACCTCTCTACCTCCTGAGGCATCGGCTGATGCTGATTGATAAGTAATTTTATAGTCAGTAATATTGCTTCTGATACCTCTCATAGAGGTCAAAATAAAGTATTGACACTTGCAGTCATCAATAGTTCTTCTTTTCATGACACGTGTGTGAGCGTGTTTGTACACAGGAAACATCCATAGGTCATGAATTGTAGTAGTAGGTCACCAGTGTTTTGGTCGCCCCTTTACATTACCGATTAAAAGGGCACAAGATGGATTGGACCTGTTCTATTAGTTTTCTCCTCTTTACATGTATGTTTTATGCTGAAACTTTTTAGTGAGAAATGCATTAATGAGAGGTCTGAAGGAAATATCTGTTGGATCTGATGTAACCCATTTCTGGGATTCTGATTCAATCTTCCATTTTATTGGCAGATTTAAATCATAAGCTGGGTCTCAGTTCTGGGGCCACATCCTTCAGTCGCTGTAATTGACGACCGATGCAAGTTCACTCACATGGAAGTGCATGCTTCACAGTTCTATAACTACAGATGACTTTTTATTCCAGTCAATCACACCTTCTCAAACTAAGCCTTTTCATTTTTACAATGTGATACATTAATTTCAGAGGAAATTCAAGGACTTTATTTAAAAACCTATTAGGTGGCAGGTGACCCGCAGACCGTCTTCACATGAAAATAATTATCATCATCGGTGGCTCAGATGATGGACTGGCATGTCAGAGACTTCATAGATCATTGCTTTGTAAGTTTGTTTTACCTCATTTCTTGTAACAATGCCAGTGAGAGACACAGTCACATTATCTCTCTCTCTTTCTCTCTCTTACACACGCACATAGATATTGACAAAAGGGCAAAGAGCACTACACAGAGCTCTACATCGATGCAACAACAAAGAAAAAATGCTACGTTAGTTTTGTAGATGAAACTACATTTGGCCAGTCATCTTGTTGATTAGCAACATCCGTTTTCTCTTCAAAATCAGTTTGAATAATTTGGGGTTTGGCTTGTTTTTGGCTGCTTGTGTTTCCTGACATGCTGGACTTCATCATTATCTATAGAAGTGATGCAGGGATGATGATGGTTGTAATTAAGCAGATGTGTGCAGAGGGCTTGGAACTTCTGAACACTGCTGTTCGTGAAATGCTGCGTGTATTATGGAATAGCTGTGGCTATTTTTGTGCGGTGAACCTCTGCATCAACGTCTCACTCCATGAGAGAAATTGCTCAATAAGCTAAAATCTGAATGCTTGGGAACTTTCTTCAGACCATTTTTATTTTCAGTACCAGAAAACTCCCTCTTGCATTGACAACGCTGAAGCGGTTTTGCTTTGTCTTCCACATTTTCCTCCAAGTACAGTTCAGTGTGCTGTGCTTCATCCGGTCCTCTATTAAGTCGGCTGGGAAATAGATTTGACCATCTTCAATATAAATCCAAAGGCATTTCACATCCCATATATCAATCTTTTCCCCATCCCGGCATGTTCTGATTGGAACGATCATACTGGGGCTATAATTTACCTTCCGAATCAAAATGAGCTCAGGAGTGAATTGACGCCATCCTGCCAAGCTGACTGTTATCCATTGTCACAGCTGAGATCGAGGCTTGATAAAGTGAAGGTCATCCCCACTGTCTGAGGCTATCAGTTACGCCGTAGCAATCAACAAAATCTATTTTCCATCACAGCGGCTGCATAGGAGAAGATGGATTTGATGCACATAGACAGGTATTGATTTGGCAATTTCCAAGGGACAAACAAAATGGCCTCCCAACTGTTTAACTGTTTTTATTTGCCTCAGAGTAATGTCTCAGCCCTGGTGGGAGTTTCATGTACCCTTTAATTACAAATGAGTCTTTTGGATGGGTTGTAGGTAAATGGCAGCGTCAGTGACTGGAAGCTGTAAATTTCTGAAATAACAAGTTATTCAGACGAAAGACAGCTGATGTCCAGCTGTCTAAACTCTGCAGTCCATATGAGACACAATGAGACAGCTACTATATATCCTAAGCTTAAAACTGGTAGTTAAACACCTGCTGTCTGTCCTACTAGCTGTACTCCATTTAAGCTTGAGACACATTTCTGCAATACATTTGCAACACTTTGCTGTTCTGGATTACCCATCTACAATGTTATCGAGGTGTTATTGTCCTATTCACCTTGTCGGAAATATTGTGTCAGGAAATGTTTCACAATAAAAGTCCTGTGAAGAGATGGAGGGTTTGCGTTCACTGAAAGGAAGTGTTGAGTTGGTATCAACAGTAGTTAATGTAATGCATTAACTTAAACTGGAACAGATTAGCATGAGCCCTCATATGTAAGTACGGCAAATTCTACTAATCAAACAGAGGGAATTAGAATTAAAAACATGTTACCTTGTGTAGGAAATCCAGCAGGTTTCATTATAACTGCAGTAGCATTTGTTCCTGTTCTTCCTTAAATGTTATTGTACATAAAGCAGTATTCCATTTATTTAACCTCAATATGATATTGAGTGTATCATATATCATATTGAGTGAGAGAGGATGACTTGGACTTCCTAATGATGATCTTGTGCTGATAGAAAACTGAATTCCCTACTCTACTCTTTTTTATCACTTTGCATCATGTTCGCTAGAGGTCATGTCCGATGTACAGTAGGGATTCCTGGTCACACTGTGCAGTCTGGTCTGAGGGGACATAAATTAAGACATGAAACTGCCTGAGCTCAAGTTTAATGCCTTATGGAAAGTGCAGTAATATTAATTTGGCCTTATCAATTAAATTGAGTGTGTAGACTGTGCACAGGCTAAACATTTGTGTGTGTGTGTGTGTGTGTGTGTGTCTTTGTCATACACACACACACACAGTCCTGCTGCCTGCTTTCAAAGAAAGTGGAGAGAAGGATGAAACTGAGCAGCCTAAACAAACAACATCAAAAATCAAGATTTCCTTTCATAAAATCGGCTTCTACCACCTACAGAAAAGGAACATTCAGAATGTGGACCACTGCACAGGTCAGAGGTCAAGAATAAAGAGATGGAGTGTCAGGCACTTCACCAATGAAAGTAGTAGTTAGGTTGAGAGAAAAGCAGGAGAAAGAGAGAACAAAACTGGAGAATCTGGAGACCTAAAGAAGTTGCAGAAGTGGAGCGACCCTGAAACCCTCAGCACCACAAAGATTGCCACTCTTATTAAATGACCTTATTATCACCCAGCAGAGGTTCAGGAGGGAGCTACAGGCTGAGAGGGATTAAAACCAGGTTCTCCAAGAAGATCTGGAGAGGCATCATTCTGGTGAGGCAGCAGGTGGACAACCTGTAGTGTCGGCTTGAGAAAGAAGTCAAGTCTCACGCAGAGTATCACAGGACAGGCTCTTGATGCAAATCTGCACAAAGGCTGCTGAGCAGGAAATGCTTTTGTGGAGAGGTGGAGGAGCTGACAACTTGACTCAACATTCAGCTCTCACTCAAGGAGGAGAGAGAGGGAAATTGAGCCGCCTGACAAAAAGTATCACGAGAAGACTACAAAAACAATCAGCATTATAGTCCTGACATAAAGCTCTCCCTGCCTCTGAAACTGTTGAGAATGAGGTGCCTGAGAAGATCCCGAAGGCTAAAAGATGGCTTCAGTCTAGAGGAATATCGCATTGCTCAAGACCAGTGTAGTGCCGGTTCTAAACCTGCCTGTTTGGAATGGACTGTTTGCTTGGCCTGTGTTGTTGCTCCAGGGCTGCTTCAGAGTTTTTCATTGTCATTAATCACTTTTTATTGTTTTTGTGCTGGACGTTGTGTGCAGAGCTTTTTATAAGCAGTCTGTGGTGCAGAGTGAAGTTAGAAAACTTTTTGTTCATCCTACCTGGTTTATCTGTAATTAGTGTAGTCGTTGTAGTACTCATTTCTTGTTCACATGTGGATTATGTGTAAGTTGATTTACTTAATTGTTTTTTTTCATATCAGCAACTTCAGACATCTGTTATAACCTTAAACCCAAGTTCACAACCTTTCAAATTAAAAACTGTTCTTCAGCTCAACATAACACGTCAGCAACAAAATGAATACTATTACAATAATATTATTATTTTACTTTGAAGATAAATTCTGCACTCTCAACGGAAAATTCTCAACATTTCAATAGTTGAATGAAAAACGTTACATCTATAAAAAAGTAAAAAAGCTTTTCCTTATATTCCAAATCCCCCTACATAATGCAAAACTTCACTGTGAAACATTTTTACTATAAATACGTTATTGTTGTCTGCTGATGGTGGCCCAATGAATATACAGTACCAGGTGCCCTTAATATTTTTACACTCATTCTTATCCTACACTCAGCATCTCTCTGTGACCTGTAAAAGAACAAGAATTCTCCACTTCCATCCTAAGTGAAGTCATTTCCCCAGACTGATGACTCAGAGTTTTTCAAATGCACTCTCGTCCATTGAGCTCTGTTTTAATTATCATTCTGTTTTGTCTTGCTTTGCCTCATGGCTGCCATTTCAAAATATTCCCTGAAGAGTCAGTGTGGCTGCAGCAAAAAGTTAATGCAAAAAGATGGTTAAAAAGAAGTAAGTGGCAGTGTTTAAAAAGTAATGAATGCAATAATAAATGAATTAAATCTGTGAAACCCCACCTCAAATAAGAAGATTTATTAAAATAAATGAAACGGTGGACTGACTGAGTGATCAATCGTCACCTTAAGTGACCTGAGCACAGCCTCAAAACTTAGCATTCAAATGTTGAAATCAAAACATCGGTTTGAGATGTTTTTTATTAAGTGACATGAATCAAAAGACATGTAAACATACAGTACCTCAGGCACTTTGAGGAGCTATCAAGTTTACCTTTTCATGCACCTGTAGCTAGACTCACTGCTCTCTAGCTAACTGGCGCTGCCATAACTCTACCTCACATGAACAGTTTCTATCGGCTCAACATCATCTCACATCCTTCTAACCAGTGCCTGTCACAGTAAAAAAAAAAAAACATGTCTAAAAAAAGTAAGCTAATTCCCACATGGCTGCTCAGTGTCTCTCCGCTCTTCAACTTCCTCTCAGCTCTCCTTAGACAGAGTGGGTGGCTGTCTGTCCAGGATGCTGGCCAGTGTTTTGAACGGCTGTCCCCAGTCACCAAGATAACTAAAATCCCCTGAACTGTCAATTACCCATGACTCCTCTATGGAGCTGAGCGAACCCGCCACGGAGCCGTCGCCCTCGTAGGCGTAGGTTGCTAATGAATCGTAGGGCGGAGCGGCATAACCCTTGTGGCTCTCCTCCAACCGGTGTTCGATAAACTCCCTGATCGTCTCAGCATCGCCCTCAGTCGCTCTGCCACAGGAAGGGAGCGGGGCCTTGTCGTTCACGGAAACAATAATGCTGGCTGTTTGACGATGGATGTCAGGTGACCTGACATTATCGCTGCGGCTGGTGAGATGCAGCAGAACCCCGTCCCCATAGCCATTCTTCTCTATCTTGGAGACGGCGCTGTGGGATTTGGCGTGCTGTGAGTGTGTGTTGCGCAGGGTGCCCATGTCGAAGGCATGAGTGTCCGCCTCGCCCCCGCCCTCGTCGTCGTAGTGAATGACATTGTCACGGATGTCCTCTTTTGATGTCATTAGAGTTTCTTTCTCTTTGTTGCGCCTCTGGCTCATGTACAGCGCTGCCATAACTGCAGGACACAAAGAGAATAAGGTGATGGGTTAGTTAAAAATGATTAATGCTAGGTGTCAGCATGTTGGAGGTGTCAGCACTTGACAACAACTGTGTCCGCTAGCCGTTTCTTTTTGGAACAAACTTTCCCAAATCCAGTTGTTCCATCATGTATTTTATGAGCTGCTCACAGTTGTAAGTTTCCTGATGGCAGGCTTTAATAGGGTTACACTTCACTCCCAGGTCAGATCCAGGGTAATTTGCTCTGCTCTCAGTTGGTGTCTGCATGTGCACATGATGTGAGGGATACAAACTGCCAAAACTGAGCACAGGCAGCTTTGAAGATGGCGAGAGCAGGAAGCCCTGCTGCTCCCACAAATCTCACAAGTCCTCTTACGGGCACAAAACATTGATTACACTCACACTTGTGTCCTGGACTGCTCTCTAAAGTTCTTCTGTGTTTACTTATCCACTGAGGCACTCTCCCACCTTCTGACATTAGCACACCACATTTCAGATAATGTATGAGGAAGATTTGTGGGAAGCAGTCACTACTTATTCATCTGATGACTTCAATTCCTAACATAACAATGGCTGGCAATCAATGTAGATACTGACTACATCAATATGCTTTCTAGGAGAGGACAATCTTGTTCTGTTTTAGCATTTGCATGATGTTGTGCTGGGAAAACAAATGGCCACATTTGTGCCACTGTTTCACAATTGCATGTTGTAGACAGACGGTGTGAAGAGGATGATAATGAAATGATGCAAACAAGTCTCCAAATCAGCTGTAAATGATTTTTCAAATTTGTTTTTATTTATTATTATTTTGCAACCTGAAATACTGTGTATTTTACAAAAAATTGCAGATAGCAGATTGAAGTTTTAAATCCCCAGCCACATGAAATGGACTACCTCAGTGGCTGGAGTTCACACACTGCTATTTCAATGTCAACGGAGTAAACATTATCCACAGAGAAATACCATCAGTTTGCATAAAGTTAAAAGCATTTTTTTTTAAGCTTCCAAAATGTCTCCCCTCCTGTACCAGGATATTAACTGTTTGTCTAGGGTCTATGGTGAAATAAATATTAATTTGATGTTGTATTTTCGGATCCCAGTAAAGAGTCCTTGGGCAACATACTGAACTATAAATGAATGCAGTCTATTTACATCATGCTGTTACGTTATTTCATGACTTTCAATGAACACAGAAGCCATAATGTCAGACACACACAAGTTAGACATACATTTGTGTATAAGAATGAAAGCCCTATTTGCTGCTAAAAGTCGTCATTGAAAACTATATGCAGATGTGGTGTCACAACCCCCACCCCCCTACCCCATCAGTGCACAGAGAAGGAAAAACAACAATATTCCCTTGGGGTAGTGCATGTGCTATAGAAACTAAACAAGGTCATAGTGTAGACTAGGGGCTGGGCTAATGGGAGCTGCTGATATGCACAGGAGTATATTGATGTTTCAGCATGTTCAGCTCTTTGGGAGACCTAATAGACAGAGTCTCCTGACTGCATCGGGCATGCCGCTGGAGGAAACGGTACAGTACAACTGAGGGTTGTGAAAAAGCTTAGTGATAACAGTGACACATGGGTCAGAGGGGGCTTTGACTGTGAGGACACACTGTCTGCAGCTTCTCTGTGAAACATCCATCCACTGGAAGCCAAGCGCTCTTTATCGGCTTCTTTTGTGATTCAAGTTAAAACCGATTGTTGGTCCGCCTCACGAGACAGTAGCACGTGTCACGTGTAGCAAGTGTCAGTATAGGAAAACAAACAATGAAAGGCACAGTAGAAAGAGCAGAATAATGTAAAATCATACAGGAGTTTCTGATTCAGCAGGATCGGCAGCAGTGGTGTGTTGTGCTGCAGGTGGGAGAATAATACTGTGTTAGCATTAGAGGGGAATTTATTTAGTGTTGCGAGAAAAGGAGCCGGAGATGGAGTTGTTGGCCTGGTAAATTAATGAAATCTTTCCAGGGGGTTTTGGAGCAGAGAGCTGTTTTCTAACCTGAGAGACAAACAAACAGCATCTTGTTTAGCTCGACCAAAGCGTTATTTTGCCATCAAAATAGAGAAAAAGCATTTCTGTTTAACAACTGACTAAAGATTCCTTAACACATGTTTAAAATGCAGTAAATATGAAACTTTTCAAGCATTGTTCAAAATATGGCATATGAGCAGTGTGGAAAATACAAAATTCCTCAAATCCAAAAATGACAGGATCTAACTTTCAACTAATTTCAAGTTTTACTAAAACAGTACAATAGGAATATAATGTAATCAACACATTTGAATAACAGAATGCCATTTACAATGTGTCTGCTGTGATGTGCAGATGCACAGCACAAGCTTACCAATTCAACTTGAATTTTGCAAAAGCTGCTAACAGTGCTATTGTGAGCTTAAATTGTCCAAGAAGAAGACAAACTACATTCATCAGAGTAGGGTTTGCCAACCAAGAGGTAAATTCACCAAAGGGAAAACAGGTGTCCCTGTGCCATTTAGGAATTATTTAGGACATTTTGGCTTAATCAAATAAAGCAGTTTAGATGTGGTTTGGCTTCTTCGTTTTTCAACCAGATCTGGTCATGTGTCATGTACAACACAGTTCTTTACTCTTGGATCGTCATAAAATAGCTGCTGCTGAAAGAGATGAGATTTTAACCAAGAAACAGGGTTTTAAACCAAATTCGCCTCCTGATAACTTTATAAGCCTGAAATTCTTGGAGAACATCTTTTCTCGCTGTGTCAAAATCCTGACAGAAAACCAAAAGTGAATTAATCAGTGTTTTCTTCGGAGCTGCTTTGCCCCATCTCAGGAGACAGGAATCTTTTTGAAAAACATTCGTTCAATTTCTTTTCTGTCAGATTTGGTTTTATTTGTGAACAAGAAGCTCCAGCAATTCTTAAATTGGAGAAAAATACCAATTGTCTCAACTCTGGTCTAGTGTTAGATTACAGGTTGAGGAGATCAGGTGACTGACAGAAAATAAACTGTTGATAAACAGTTAAATTATCTTTTTAGGTATTTTATCAAAACATTGAAAAACCTATATTTGCCCTCTGTTTTATATTATTCTAAAAGGAATGTGTTTAGTTCGTCAGACAAACCAGCAATTAGGGAGGTAGCGCTCCATCCATCCATCCATCCATCCATTGGTGTTTTCTAATATTCTGCTCCCAAATTATATATCACTGGCCAGTTTGTATATTTTATTTTTGGCATATTTCTCCCGAGCTTGCTTGCTGCTGTTGTGCTTCTGCCCTGAGGGTAACAAGAGCTAACAGGAAGTTAATAAAACAGTAGGAGATGCCAAGTCAAAGACCATTCCCCAGGGAGGACACAGAGCTGTGAAAAACCTCTGCCATTGTTCTGTTGTTCACCAGGACAAAGAGTTGCTATTTCACCTTTGTATCTATTGAAGGCAAACCCTATATCTTTTAAACATGCCATGTAAAGATGGTCGCACTTTATACATTTACACTAAGTCATGCAGGCTTCCTTTACACCTGCCTTTACTCTTCAAAGTGCAATATTACTGCCAGGAAATATGGAAATGTCTCTTTCTTTCGGGCAGGAGACAGAAGTGGATGTTATGTGTTAGCACCTATTAGCCCATCCTCCCTTCCCTTTTTTATGTCCTCTTTCAGTTATCCTCTCTCTCCACAGAGGACACCAATAAAGAAGGCACAATGCCCTCAGGAGGCTGCGATTCTTCTCTGACATACCATCAGTCAGTCCACACAAACACACACACACACACACAAACACGTGCACACAGAAAGAAGGAGATAGGGTGAATCAGATATAAAGGAGGGATAAAGAGCTGCTTTCACACACCTTTCTTTTCATTTCTTCTTTCTGAATAATGCACCACATGTCTTAAGAAAAATATGTGCCTACACACACACACACATAATGAGAGCTGTCCATTGTGTTTCTTCTGTGGTTGGACAAGTGGTTATATAAATCTCTGCAACAGACTCAAAAATGAAAGGAGATGTTGGAACAAGAACAAAAATGCAGTAAATGAGGAATAATTGATCCCCTCAAAAAACAAACAAACATGATCATTAGAGCATGTTGTGGGTTGTTGGCACCATCTAGTGTAACAGCAAGAGCATCAATTCTTTGGTGAAAGTGCCTCTGCCTGTCATCATCAGGTGAAAGTGCAATGACCTCAAACTCAACAAGAACTCAAATGTTAAAACACTTGAAAGAGCTCTCTGGATATACACTGTGTTTCTCTACAGGCCACTAAACTGACTAAACAGTGTTAACTTACTCATAAAAAAACCTTGGACTATGAACCTTCTAATACACTATTTAAAGGTGGGAACAACATAAGGTACAATTAAAATGAAATACATTAGTGAACCAGGGGAGACATTCATTTTTATGTGGTGTTTATAAGGTATTCAGATTCACATCAGATGAATAGAACATTTTAGCCATTTTATACAAAACTCCCAGATATAGGGGACAAATAAAGTTATTTTCATGAATTGCTTTTGGGGGCATGTGGGGGCAGAACTAAATTCAGAACAAGTTAGAAGAACCAGGTTTTTCTCTTCTTTTAACATACCGTTGTGTTTTAATTAATTATATATAATCATTAATTTTTAGCTCCGTTTTGGTCTCAACCAATACTCAAAATGGCTTTTTAGCATCTAAATGCAGCAGCATGTTCTGCAAGGCTCTCTCTAGATCATCTCTGGCTTATGTCTGTGTGTTGGTGTTTGTATATCCCTGTGTTGTAGGCGGAGCTTACCAATCAACAGAGCTACACACAGCAGAATAGCCATCAGGGCCCCGGTGCTGAGGCCCACAGGCAGGAAGATGGCCTCGGCTGAACAGGTCAGCAGAGAGCCCCCCATCTCACAGGAGCACACTCGGATGGTGAGGGTGGCCGTGCTGCTCTGAGCAGGGTAACCGCTGTCTTCGACCACGACAGGAAGAACGTAGACGTCCTGCAGCCGCCGCTGAAAGCCGGAGCGCCTGGTCACAATACCCGCAGTGTTGTCTGGAAGCCAACAGAGGATGATGTAACGTCAGAACAATATCCTTGATATCAAGTGTTTGCTGGCTGGCAGCCATCACACCACCGTCTGAGAAATCTGATCAAACCTGAAGGATTGCACTCACAGTATGCTGGATGCACTGAGGCTGAAGTGTTTGCCCTGTAGGATAGGGCTGGTGTTATTTTATATGTTTTACTTCAAATTGGATGAAGAAAAACTAAACCAACAATGTGTTTGTCCCTCAGTTCTTTCCCTACCCTGCCTGGAGTGTGTGGTGCAGGCCACCAAGCCTGTTGGTTTCTACTGAAGAAAAACAGCCCCCGATCTATAATTTCATCTTTTGTAAATAGCTCATTTTCTAAAGCAGTTGGCCACTTTAGCATTTCTCCAAGGAATAAACACAAGAAACTAGTGCATTTGTTCCATGTGCTAATTTCAGAAGTTGATTAATCCACATTTGGTGCCCAAGTGAGTATTTATGGGGACTTTAATCAAATAAATAAATAAAAAAACCTAAAGTTTCTACAGGGTTGTGTGTACATGCTTATGAAGAATCGGGTCACCAAGTAGAGCTGTGGCTCACTGATGTGTTTTTAAAAGTTTGTGGCCAACACTGATGTTCTATTTTAATGGAGGTATAAGTCTATTAGTCTTATAATATATATGTAATACCTGTCAGCAGGAAACATTGTTTGCTTGGCTCTGCCACCAGACTTATCCTTTAAGACAAATGCTTCACAACACAGACTCTAAAGTAAAAACCCAGGAAGTAATGAAAGAATCATCCTTGACCTTGTTTGTAGTAAACGAGCTGATTCTGTCATTTGTCTCAGAGGAGAATGTCAAAAAATAAATCAAAATAAACTGCATCATTTTAAACCTCAGCGGAGACTGTAGCCTGTGCCTCAAAATATAAATTCGATTTTTAGATGCACCACACAGCACAGGAGGAAGCTCTGCCACTTCAACCCTGTCTGCCAGAATTTAAGTTTCTATACAACTAATCTGCAGCAGCAAATTTGTACAAAATATAATTTAGTTCAGAGGCAACTTTTTTTTTTTAATGGATGGAGTGCTATATTTGTGAGATCTCATGAGGTATCATGAGGTCGTTTGGGTGGATGGTGGACATGCAGAGAGCACAACTGTCACACAGAGACCAGGGCCCTGTACTATGAAGCAGGATTTGGGCTCTTCGGGGTAACTTCAGGGTCAATTCGGGGTTTCTGGTTCTACAAACCTCGTTCAAGTCTTATTAGGGCAAATCACCATGGCAATCAATGCTAAATGGCTAACCTGTTTCAGAGCAGGTTAAGTTGCAGATACCAATCAATTCCTTTGAAACATGACATCAGCGTTCTTACAGGATCCCGTGGAGCTCGGTGTGCAGATAGTTAGAGTACTATCCCTTGAGATAATGTGATGAGTATCTTTATGAAAGATATAGATTCTCATCAGAGGCAATGATAAACCTTTGTTATCTGCTGGAGCCGAACATTAGCAACCTGACACGTAGGAGCAATGTGCTCCCAGTAAGGGTCTTGTTAGTACATATTCATGTCTTTTGGCCCCGAGTTATTAATCTCATTCTTATATTATTATGGCATCATGGAATACATTTTTTCCCCAAAGTCACCTGGAGGCTCCGTAAATTACACATTTACACAATTTGAGATTTTTTACCAGCTGTTCTTTCTGTATTAAGCAGCTGTCACTTTTGTTTGTCTGGATAATGTGTTTGTCCTCCTCGTATTTTTCTAATTTAACAGTTTGCTCTATATATATATATATATATATATATTCATATGAATTCAGCTATTTTGGTTTCCATCAAAAAGTCCTACATCTATTGATAATATCTTTAGTCAAAGTGCAATAAATTAGAACTGAAGCTACTCTTATGCAGTCGTTCAAGTTGAAACTGAACGTGTTTGTATAGGTTTTACTCAGTGAACACATCATCTTTGAACATAATCTGGTGAATAATTATGTGTTTGGGAAAAGTAATTATCCATTTGTAAAAATAACTTCAAGGAGATATGGTTTGAAGTTAAAATTCTTTTTAAGTAGGAAAGTTTATGTCCCAGAAAATAGGTTTTCAGAGCTGAAGGTCAATGTATCCCCAAACTCTTGCATACTTACTATGGCGTGCTCTGTATCTACTAAGCCTATACCTTCCCAGCATGCACCACAGCCTCGCATTTTAGGCTGGAGCAGAATATTTAGATTTCAATACATGCACTTAGAAAGTGAACTGAAGAAAGTGTGCTTAAAAGTTTAGAGGCAAAGTGCTTGTTTAAATTTTAAAAACATTAAATAACACACTATTGTTCCAAGAGATACAGGGAAACACAAGAGAGAAAATGTCCTTTGAAATAAGTTGCATATTAAATGATTAGATTAAATAAAAAACCTTTAAACTGCTCCATCATAACTATTTTATTTTACTGATTCATATATATATGGTGTTGCTGATACAGTTTGAAGAAATTAAATCCAGTTTTCAAGGAAAGTGTATTTCTCAATTGTAAGAATCTGTCTGACAGAAAATGTTCTGCGGGGCAGAGACAACCAATGAGAAGAGGAAATGGGATCATTTATAACTTGAACAATTTATGTGAAATCTATTTTGATGCAAATATTCAGCACAAATCGGTTTGCAGCAGATGTGTGTGCGTGTGTTTAGTGTGTGTGTGTGTGTCAGGAAAGATCTGTTCTCCCCTCAGTGGACAGAGATGTAGCTTGACAAGGTAGAGACCATTAAGGCACCTTGTTCCTGTTACACACACACACACACACATACACACACACACACACACACACGCTCTAGTTCCCCTCGGTGGCTGCAGGCCTGTGTGTCCAACTCTATCAGACGTGATGCTGACCATACAGGTACAAATATACAAAAATACTGCAGTGCGTGTTTGCTTCCTGTTGAGGTGTTGCAGGGGGAAACAGGAAATGTCAGGGGAGAACTTGCGAGACAAACACACTCTTCACTCAACAGGGAAGGAAATGTATAAAAGAAGATGTTAAATAGCTGCAATGACAACTCTGTCACATGATCATTAAACCAGAGAAAAGCTTATTTGATCCTTCAAGCTGACATTCTGATTCTGTGAGTGGGAAGCTTACAAAAGTTGTACTCCTTGATGCTGCACCAGTGCCACCTACTGGTTTGTTGTGATCCCTGCACATTAATGAATGGAACTGTGAAGTGAGTGACAGTAGCTCACAAGAAAGTGTGTGTCACAAAGGAAGCACACATCCGTCTGCAATGAGCAGTGACACTGACTGTAGCACATGTGTAACTTGGGAGGATGTGTTGATTAAAATGTGTCAAGTTTAGAGGATTACTGTGTGCACATAATTCTGGCTCTCTGTGCCTACAGGTCCACAAAGTGTGAAATGACACAGTCCAGTCTGTTGTGGGATGCCTATATGTCACTTTGTGTTCCCATTCCTACATCAGAAGCAGGTAGAATTAAACTGGCCTCTGTGTCAGTTACTCTGTGCCAACCACTTAGTGATTGACCGCCTAACCAGCCTGGGTCATTACCACATAAGACTGGCTGCAAAACCTCCATACATTTAAACTGTTCACAGGAAAACTGCAGACAGTATCAGCATTAAAAAATAGAATTACTTTGCATTGCTGATTAGCACTATGTTTTTTAGGTCTACTCCATCTTATCAACACTCCTGGGAGATGATTGTACAGAAAATGTGGCCCTCTAAATTACATGACAATATTTTCTTTAGCAGAAGAATAATTTAATTTCACGCAGGTAGACGGGTGAAAAATAAAATTCATTCAAAGGAAGATGTTTTGTTAGTAACCCTAATAAGATCAGTATTGTCACTGTTACTACACCAATTATGGTAGTATAGAATACAGGATAGTAAATATATAGTAAATATACGCTATCCATATATAAACTATCCATCTATACACTATCTATCTGAAATAAAACGCTGTATGTGTGGGATCACCTTTTAAATATGACCATTTCAGAGGTTCTCTGATGTCAGTCGAGTTGAATATATCTTAAGATATTTAGATAATCATCTGAAACTAATAAAAATAATTCTCTGTGAACAAACCCTCTCACATTGTGATTTTATAATTGCGTCCTCCCTTTTACTTACTTCCAAAATCTCGCACAGTAAAGTTTCTGTTGCGGAGCTCCTTGGGGATCTTGAAGAAGAACCTCTGGCCGACAGGGGGAAGATCCTTGTCCACAGCACTGACCGTCTGGATCACCTGGTCAGAGAGCCGTCAGAGGGAGAACAATGACTCAGGGAACCCTCGAGAGAAGAGCTGGCAGCTCGTACTAAAAAAATGCTTGTTCAAGTCAGTTGGCTGGAATGGGAAATGTCAGGAGGGAAAGTCTGTCATTGTGTTATATGACAAACCACTTGGCTACAAATGATTCCTGTCCTAACTGGTGTTGTGCGTAGACATTGTTAATATTTAGCAATTGAAAGTGTTTGGTATGTTATGACATGAGACGGACAGACAGATGCAGCACAGTTCACTTCACCTGTCCGATTCTGGAGTTCTCACACACAAAGGATTCTGAAGGAACAGCCAGCTCAGGAGGAAACTCGTTCACATCCAGGATGTTGACTGTCACTGACACTTTGGTGGACAGCAGTGGGTTGTCTGAAAGGGTCAAGAGAAATCATATATGACTGTGGTAACACAGACAGAAGTATAATGTAAAACATTTCTAAAGAAGCAACACTCAGGCTGAAGTTTGAAAGGAAACATCCACAGGCATCAGTTATTAAACTTTTAATGCCAAATCTTTTTCATAAGGACTATGTTGGTGTGTTTTTTTGCTTAAACTTCCCTTTTCTTCCACCTGTCAACATGTAAGCTAGTTCATGTTCCTTGAATGGAGTTACTCCTCTACTTCTGCATCCTGCTGTGTGTCTGGGCTTAGGTCCTGTTCCCTGTGTTCCTGGCCTCAGCCATCACAGAAGCAGCTCTGGGTCAAATGTGCACAGTGGCATTGTCTCAGAGTGAATCAGAGCATCCATGCAAAGCTTTAGCACACAGAACCATACTGTCACTTTTTATTCAAAATGCAAACATTAATTCAGCCCATAGCACAAACCAAGTCATTGATGGCAGTAACTGATAATTAATTGAAGTCAAAGTGGTTTCAATAATCATCGTAATCATCAGACCATTTGTCAAAAGTTAAATAAAATAGAATTTTACCCCTTGATTAATTTTATCAAAACATTTGCATCTAAAGCATTTTATATTAGACGTGATTTTCAGATGCCTGATCTTGATTCATAAAGAACGTGCTATCTTACATTTTACACCACAAGTCACATTGACCCATTTGCACAAGCATTCAAACAGCATATCTGCACACAATGCCTTTTCTCACTCATTGACAGAACTGCTTTCAGAGGCTTTTTGGGTTCTTGCCCCCAAGGACACTTTGGCATGCTGACTGGAGGGGCCTGGGATCAAACCACCGACCACCAAACCCTGCTCTACTTCCTCTGCCACACGTGCCACAAGGAGAATGTTGAAATTGACAATTGAGTTAATTCAGGGGGTGGGTTTCCTCGTCGGAACTTTAATGTTGAAACGACAGTATCAAAATGACTTGATTAGCATTTGTTTGGTAGTGACACATGTATCAAACTCTCATCTAATCAGGGAGGTGCTGGATTTTACCAGTACAGATATTTCTGAAATATGTTTTAATAGCTTTTACATTCACAGTAAGATACAAACTGTAAAGAAAATAGCACTTACTATTCTTACTCGTCATATTATTCATCCAAACCCAAATGCGGTTGCAGTGTTGGCCACTAGATGGCGCTAGACACTAAACAAATATTTAAATTGTCACAGGCTTTCTCTCTCTCTCTGTGTGTGTGTGTGTGGATGTATGTTCCAGGTATAACTGGATTTAAATCAGTGTTTATAGTCACATTATTGGGTCTCATTCCATTTTACAGTGAAGACATGTTTTACAGCTTAGATTATGGTTATGGTCAGACAAGTAGTAATAGTAGTGTGTTTCTGTGTGTGTGTGTGTGTGTGTGTGTGTGTGTGTGTGTGTGTGTGTGTGTGTGTTTCACCCTCATCTCCAAACACCTGTCAGATAACCTTGTCCAGTCATTTTGAATCATCCTGCCATTTAGCGTGCACAATCTTGTGTTTCCATCAGCTGTGACGGATACAGAGGATTTGTATTGTTGCTCAGTCTAATGAGGAGTAGTTGGCAGGTCTGTGACTCAGCAGCCCATTGCCTCCTCAAGGAGCTTACAGGAGGAAATCATATGGTGATGGTGCACATGGAGTCCGGATGAGTTAAGCTGCTTGCCTGATTTGACTAAATTTAGTATCCAGAGTTGATGCAGCTGCAGCCGCACTCCAACCAAATAGAAAACTGGGGTCCCGATGTAATGGACTAAACATCTCTCAGAAAACGTGCCACAGTGGCTTGTCTTTGTTTAATTGTATATCGTGACTTTTAAACCGAATTATGCAGTTGTATAATTTGACCTTAAAGGACTATAACACACTGTCAATCAAAATCCTACTGGCCACCAATAAAAAAAAAGTAGTACTAAAAACAGTATTAAAATATAAAAACTGCATGCTTGCTCTGGATGCAGGACTTTTGTTGTGTAATACTTACTAACTTTGGTTGCCACCACTTTGATCTTGTGCTGGACAGCTGTCTCTCTGTCCAGGTATTCATTAGTGGAAATAGTTCCCTCAACGGTGTCAATGTCAAAACAGCTGTCAGACTCTGTGTCCCATTCCAGTGAGTACCTGCAGAGATGAGAGCAGTCCACATAAAGGGGAACAGGTTAAAGTGGTGAGCTGGGTGCACCATTGTCAAAGGAGCCGCAGAAAAGCTCTCATGTAGCAGACAAACTTTTGTCACAGGAGAACCCATTAAAAACAGAAATGTTTTGCCTTTTTGACAGAGACGTTGAAAGAGAGACAGGAAACAGAGTAAGACACTTGGGGGCCTGCTGGGAGTGGAGCCCGAACCCCCTCACCCCGACCGCTCTACCCCCTTAGCCTCAGGCCCGCTACTCAAGGTGAACATGCATCCTGATAATTCAGCTGTCAGGTGGCCATCAAAATAAACTGCAATTGTAGTTTGATGAATATGGATGGATACGTTAGAGACACCTGTTACTATAAACTATTTACATTAACACAAGAACAGCTGTAATTATTTTAAAGCCAGAGCTCATGTTTATCAAGTTCTTAACAATTAAGTGTCACTTGAGTGCCAACACAAGAGCACAAACATTCTAAGACACGTTCCTCAGACGATTCCCTCCTACCTTTTTCCTCTCCCTTGCTGAGGGTTGAGATCCGAGGAGGTTGTATCTTGTTATTTGTGAATGAGCTATTTAAAACTATTTTGATGCAGTGACTAGTCCCTCTCTTCCCATCCAGAAAAAAGAGAATAAAAATGCCCCCCTCACACTTCACATTCAAAATCTTGTCATCATCTTTGACCCTTTGGTGACTCTCAACAAATACATCAACACTGTCGCTTAATGTTGTTACTTTTAACAAAGGAATATTGCAGAACTTAAAGCCTTCCTCTCTTTCAATGACTTTAAGATTGTTTTTAATGATTTCATATTAATGCAAAGTGCAATGTCCTCCTTTTGGGCATTAGCAAGTCATCCCTGTTTTCTTTTTTTTAATCAATGGAAGAAGTTTTCTGTCCATAGATCTGTTGGTGGGCGACAGCTGTAATGGCAGGACTAGCTTCTTTCAGGATCTGTCCAGAATTTTCTTTACCAGAACAGAAAAAAACGGTACTGTTCAGTGATAAACTTCAAAACTGGCCAGAAAATCACTGCATAACATAAAAACACAACACCATAGGAAGTCTAATTAGCACATACATCAAGTACCTGGTCCAAATACACAATATGCTCAGGTGAGCAGCATCAACCCTTTAAATCGAGCAACTGAGCAAAGAACAGAGCCCTGCTTCATCAAACATATCGTCCCTTCCAGCCACTCTATAAATAACCCACTCATTTTACTTAACAACTCTTCATTCTTTGAAAGTGGACTAGGTGGCAGATTCCCAGAAGCACGCAGTTATCCTGCATCCTGCTGACAGAGCTACACTGCACCATGGTACAAGTCCAAAGAAACATACCATGAGAGTTTTGATCAAGTAGGAAATGATTTCACGTAAAATATATTTGCACCAGAGTTCCCACCTTTCTGCTACATCTCCAACACATATCAAAACGTCTCTCTCTCTATTTAAAATTTAGTCGTGAGTGAGAAAACCATAAAATGAAGAGTTTTTCTTTTTAATTTTGGAATCTCCTGTTCCAGTTCCTTTCCCATTCTCATTTTAGTGTCCCATTTTGAGTGAAAGTTCCTGAATCCCTATTGTACCTTGCAAAATATGTTTTGTACTTAAAACAAATCAGTATCTAACGGACAGAAATCTCCATAATTCTGAGATACTTCAATGATACACATTATAAATTATGTTCTGTCCCTGAGCAGAAGACTGTCTCTCACTGTCCTTCTCTTGACAAAACCAATATCACCACAAGATCCCTTTAAATGTTCTTGATTTTGATTATAACTTCACCACATTTTAAGCTGACATAAAATGATTATATTCCTATTTCCATTTTCTGAGCCACAGATTGATTGATAGATTTTTTTACTGCTGCAGTTCATGTCAAGAATGAAGTTTCAATCAATATGTTTAATTGGGGCTGAGTATTTTTTTACAGCACAAGAATGATTAGTTGCTTTTTATCTCAAACACAGGATTATATCTGGCCGAATACACTAGAGCTATCGGACCAACTACACGTGTGTGCTGTTTAATTATTGGTCAAATGTATCCATTTTTAAAGATGCCTTAAAGCAGCTCATGTTAAATTCACTTGTGAAATCAAAACTATTGACACTGTAGAACAATAATATTCCTGAAAGGATTCACAGCCCGCGAAAAATTGTCTGCAAGTTAAAAGATCAGTACAGTCACAAAGATTATTTTATGAGGCTGTGAATAAACATTGTTAAATATTAACACCAAATCAGCACCACACTATGTTTGTGTTGTCTCGCAGTGCAGGGTGCTGTTAATATTGACTACCTGACAGCGCTGCTGCTGGCATCCAGGTCGTGGGCGGTTACTGAGCCAATGATGTTCCCTGGAGGAGTGTCCTCATACACATCCATGGAGTAGAAGGGCTTGGTGAAGACGGGAGGCTCCTCCATGTCCAGGACAGTCACCTTCACCGTTGCAGAGTCCTTGAAGGGCCCTAGGTGGAGAAAACGGGGGTCCAGTTGTGCGTTGGATGCCTCAACCTTGAAAGTGTACGATTTCTTTGTTTCATAGTCAAGATTCTGCAGAAACACAAAAAGAAAAGAGATGGGTGGACAGGGAGAGTATCAAGTATCATTATTGTAATATAGCTCAGAATAGTATTTTAATTTACATGTGTAATAGTTCAGATATACATTTTACCCTTGTTACTTATTTCCCACAAAAACAAAAAACAACCCTTGTTTTCAAGAATAACTTCTAAAATGAGTTTTGAAAGTATTTTTGTATTATTTTCCTAATCAAGGTTATTCTGCCAAAATTTTATAAATGAATCATTTTAATCAGGCAGTGAGAATATTTGTTACTTTTGAATGTCGAAGGTGACAGCAAATAAACTTTAACATGAGCTGTTTCCATAGTTTCCAATGAGGCACATACAGGAACTTGTCCAAGCAGTGTTTTGACTGAATGCTAACATGTCTTTTTAATTTTAAAATCACTGAAAAAAAAACCTTCCTTTGACCTGCTCACTGTACATTTAGACACATTAAAATAAAATAGGTATAAGCATAAAAAATGACTTTAAATGCTGATCTTCACTATCACAGCCGATGCTAAGGAAGCCAAAACCTTCAACTGTACAATTACACGATAAGCTTCTTATAATCTTAACACAATTAAAAGATAATGTCTCTCTTTTCTTATTGTGAACGCAGTTTGCTTCCATATGTAATGAAATGATAATTACACACCTCTCGTTACATTTAGCAGGCACCTTGGCACCACATCGACTGTTACCAGTATTTACCTTCACTCTCCTATTGATTTGCATCTACTTGCTAATGGCATGTAGCTGACACACACTGCTATTGACTGACACCTCTGTGGATAAAGAATTGTTTAGAAACACCTGAGACACCCGATGTGGGCCGGCCTCACTGTAAATCAGTCAGCAGCTGTAACCGTGACTGACCTCTGTCACCATGACACTCATCTTCTTCATTGGTTCTGGATACAGTCTACCACATATATAAAATAGGAGTCTTAATATATACTAGGTTCTAGTGCTGTTCCGATTTTCAATTGTACATTTTACCCAATATAAAACAGTTGCAAGGCAAACCAAAATGTAGTCTGCAGGAGCTGTAGCCCACACAGATTGAGTTAGACCAACACACATTGCAGCCTGTGTCAAGAGCTGCCAAAGCTGCAGAAGAAGAAGAAGAAGAAGCTCCATTAGACATGACAAAGAGATGGGAAGAGAGAGAGAGTTATAGGTTCGTACTCAGTAATTGGATAGGTATCAACGCATTAGATTATGATAACGCTTAGATATGCACAGGCTGTAAAATGAACGTGGCTGCTACTGTTATATAAACTAGTTTAGACTAAGTGATACATTACATTGATAAGTAATACTTTTACATTCATGAAAGACTTGCACATGAGCTGTAACAGTTATTCTCGTGTGTTTTTGTCAAGATTATCTATCAGTGTAACATTAAAGTACCAGAAATGTATCAACAACTGTCTGCACTTATCCCCTAGAGTATAATATGGAGAAAACACCATACAGTGAGTGACGATGTAAAGACACACACATACACACACAGAATTCAATATTCCCCCTTTCATTTCAAGAATGAAGCCGGGATGCCCTGCCTTATTGTTGCATAGCAACCATGACTGCATCTTGATACATGAATTCCTCATAGTAGGGACTTCAAAGAGCAGCATGCTTGGTTACTGATGTCCAATCACTCCGATGAATGCACCACTCACTGATCGATTTGGACACAGAAGGGTCGATTTCCATTCTTCCCCCCACGCCTATCTGTTTGTGAACGCACAGGAGAGCGATGCAGGCGACGCACACTTTGATATGGAAATGTAGCCGCAAACTGTACCAAGACATATTCATATTCATATCAAACTCAGTTTGTCTCATGATGCTGAAGCAAATTCACATTCCTTTGCTCAACTCTTGCTGTCAACGGTATCAAAATAAAACCACTTGGGTGTTTTGGCTCTACCAGAACTCTTCTTTAAGAGGAGAATTGAAGCTCAGTGACTGTCATTGCAACGAATGCTGCAGAGGAGGTGCTTCAAGTTGAGAGAAAAGTGTCTTTCAACACACACAGATCCAAACATGTGCACCTAATCTCCAACCCACACAAACACACATTTAACTCCTTTGCTTTCATCCATGCACTCCCACTGACCTTGTGGGAAACAAATATACTGTTGTTTCCCATGAATATCCCTCCATTGATAGAGAGATAGATAAAGACGTGTGGATGTCCCCCATAGCTCGTACATGTTTGTGGAAACCCTGTGCATCTTTGTGAACCCAACATAAGAGAAAATACTTCAAAAGAAAATCACAATGCAGTGGGAGGTTCTCTGCTCAGAGATCTGGATCTGTTGCGTGTGTGAACCTATTTTGAGCTTGAATTCAGTATTGAGCTAGTTTGGAACAGGTTAGCAGACTGCTAACTTAGTTCTGCAACAACCAAGAGTTGTCCACTGGACCATTTCTGTTTATGGATATGTTTATCTGGCTTTCTAGTCTAAGAGTAAGATTTTCCGGTAACACTTTAGTTTAGGGAACACAATGTTAGCCACTAATACATGAGTAATAAGTGTTAATGATCAATAAGATCTGCATTAAGCATCTCTACATATGTATTAGGTATTTATTCAACAATTTCTTATTCTTACTGAATAGGTCATTTATTCTTGACAAACCCTTAATAAGCAGCTAGTTAGTCTTGAGGTTAAGTTGCTGATATATAGTATGGATCAAAGTAGACTCCTAATACATTGT